AGTTCATTTATTGCTGAATAAATAAGGAACATGAATGTTTCATTCATTTCCTCATTTTTTTACTCATTGGTTGTTTGTTTCATCGTTTGCATCTCTAGATTTTTAATGGCCATAGCAATGCGTCAGGAGAGCCACATCGATCTATCTGTTCACGTGTTGCATCTCCTGAAAGCATGGTGGTGGATTCTGTCAGCAACGAGATGTTTCTGTTGCTACAGTATTTTCGGAACGATATGATCAGTGATGCAGAAGGGTTTGACATCTTGGCTGACTTTATTTTCAAGCCGGGTGGTAAGTGAGCCTTGCGTGAAGCGAAGTAATTTCTCAAATGATCACGTGTCCTTAGGATGCGGTAGCAATATGACAGAGCTTCGTGGTAGATTTCATACACCGGGATACCCATCGCCCTACCCAAGTGACACGGATTGCAGTTGGCTCATATCGCTGCCCCATGGATACGTGGTAAAGCTATTCATTACCGACCTTAATATCGGAAACTCGATCCAGCGCTGTTTCTCGTATGAAGGGAATCAAGGATCCCTCACGGTACGCGATACCGACGGTTAACGTATTTATGACCAACGCTAAAATTTTAGATATACGACGGCCCGTCGGACAACGGTTCATTTCCGCTGCTGGCGCGCTATTGTGGCAACGCGGTTCCACCGTCGCCTAAGGTCGTTAGCACTGGCAACGAGGTGTTTGTGCGTTTCAAAGGAGCGATGAGGACGACCGTTCGTGGTCAAGACGGACGCGGCTTCTTTGCCAATTACTCGGTTTGGTGCGGCGGCCATCTGACGGCGAAGTCCTACAGGCAGTTTGTCCACTCTGTAAGTTTCAGCACTACCGAAGAGAGGACCGATGACTGTTCGTGGCTTATTGAATCAACGGAAGTGGGTAATTGGTCGTAGAAGTCCCTGTTTTGCAATAAGTTTGTTTTGGTGATCGAATTTTATAGGACAAAAGGTGGAATTGCAGTTTACGTACATGTCGACCGCGTATGATTCAATCATTTACAACTGTTCAGAAGACTACATCGAGGTGTATGATGGTCCCGAAGCTGCGAACTACACGCTGCTTGGCCGAATCTGTGGTCAAGAAAGCCCAACGCCGTTCATTTCTACCGGCAATACTCTGTTCTTGTGGACTTCTTTCTCTACCTGGAGCACCTGGCGACGACAGTTTTCGTTTTCCTATTATCTGTCAGACTCAAGTATGTGTTAAGAATTGCTAGATTCAATTAGACTGACATCCTGAAAGAAGACGATTGTCTCAAAGGAAACATAGAAAGCTGTGTTTTCAATGCGAATTCAAAAATATGAACGACAAAACGTTGATCCATCCGTTTAAAAGAGAAATGATATGAGCAACATATCGCGATTAGATTCGCTAGTTCATTTGTTTTCGCGTTCATTCCTTCGTCTATTATTTCACTCATTTTTTCATTCTTTGTTAACATGTCGAAAGCGCGCAAAAACAAATATATTTATACGAATGTAATTTCAATGTCTGAAATGAATCTCGTTCGTACATGGGTCTGTATACTTGATATATTTAGCGTTAGGCTTAGACATAAGACACACGCTGGAATTTTGAACTTTGCTGCGTAATGCAGATTGATCTATTCATGCAAATTTTTTGTACCTAACCGTTGACAATATCTGTATATACTGAACAGAATTTGTATGTCCAGGTACTTATTTCATAAACGGAATCATACCATGTTTGCGCCTTCGACAGGGTTCCTTAATCAAAATTCTAGTGTTAATTCATTCTTAAGCATACGGCCTTCTCAAGTATAAATATGAATGAATTCGTGTAATACAAAGGCAGCACAACTTCCATCAGTAATCACCTTTAAATAATACCTTCTAATTGCTGACTTCTGTGCAACCTTTCTAATGTTTTTTAGCAGAGTACAAAACGATTATATCAGTTCTGAGGTTCGGTGTTACTTAGACTGTGGCGGCGACTACTACTCACTATTTGGACGTTTTACTTCGCCCGGTTTTCCATCGACCTATCCTGAAGACACGGTGTGCATATGGCAGATATGGAACGCGCCTGGCAACAAGATTATGCTACAGTTCAGGTAATACGATATATTTTGCATAAACGCCAAGCGGTATTCACGGACATAGGGTTGTCTAGTTTTGGTTATGTTTGTGTTATGACAATGTTTGTTGAGAATCTGAGAATTTGAGCAGTCTGCATAGGCGAAATGTCTCTGCTTTGTGATGCTCACTGTATTCGCTGCTTTGCAACTTCTGCTATGAGGCACCGATTACTGCACAGAAATAAACATTCGTCTCCAAAGGCAGAAATACTCTTACTTTGTTTCTCAAGGTTGTATGCTAGCCTCCAGTTTGACATCTGCCTTTATTCGGCTTCCACAGGAGAGGCTGGCTGACTGGAGTAATTGATTTCTCATTAAGCAGTTTTTCTAACAGGGCCAACTGCATCTATTAATCTTTAAGTATCTTGAAGTCACATGTGCGTGGAAAAGAATAGAGTAATTCTTTACGTGTCCTTGTTATTTAACCCTAGTTATGCGTCAGAGTCAACATTGCTGTAGACAGTTCAACTGCCGTTATTGCTCCTTCGTTGAAAGGTCTTTCTAACTGTCTCTATGTCGTGTGACGACCCTGAACTGGTAGAGTGAAGGTAGATACGGATTTTTCTAGAAGGAGATTATCCTTTCCAAATTATTGGATAAGTTTCAATAACATTCAAGGATATCTCTTATCTAACTCAGGTGTGAATGTGCGAATGTGCCGTTGTTAGAGAGTTAAATTGTTGACCTCCTCAACAACTGATCAGTTGATAACTCATATTGATCCATGCGAGATCTCCGCGTATCGAACCAGAAACGCAGAGTCTGAGACGCAACCGAAAGGTGCACGCAAAGATTAAAGCACCGTCGGTATTAATCGCCTAGAAAATGCAATGCAGTTTCATTCCTCTGCGGTCTAGCCTATAAATTGAGAATAATGCTCAGTGTGCAAGAAGGATTTAGGATCGAGTTTATAAACATAGTCGGTTTTGTAAAACCTGTATGACCCTTCGAACTTGTTAGATATAGATTACAATAATCGTCCCTAGTAATTCATTGCTCAGGAGGTAAACAGCATGGTCCTTTTGACCCTCTCACGCTATTCGTGATTCGTGCAAAATAAATTGTCAGGTCGTAGACCATGACTTAAAAACTTCGATCCCATCTATAAGCGGCTGAAATGGGCTTTCTGAGACGAGTCTCTGGCCTTGTTCATCTCGGCATGGTCCGGAATAGAGACATTCGTGAGAGCCTTGGTGTCCACCAGTACTTCTTCAGATTTTTTACCACAAAATAGCTAAAAATAGTAGATTCCGTTGTCGTACGTTTTGCAGAAGCGAACGTTCATTTTTTCTGTCTGTGAGACCCCTCATTAATGGTCAAGTCCGATAAGTAAATTTTAAGCATTCAGTTTGGCATCTCAACTTAAATAGCGTTTTTCTTTGCCCTCGCTTGTTGCCTGATGTCAATTAATTATTTCATACAGTAAGGCCATGAACATAAATATGTCATATTCATGACTAATATTCATGGCTTTCTTTTGTTATGGATGCTGATTTCATTAGCAGTACAAGCGAAATATATTAGCAAAGCAATCAAAAGCATTTTAAAGTGGCATTTAGGAACGCAACATTAATTTTATAGCGCTATTAAACATTTTAAAGGTATTACTTTTGAGATGAACGTTGAGGTTTTATGGTGACATCCGTCGCTTTATGAAGGTTCAAAATTTTCATTTCTACACTTTCATCTTGCTGATTAAAGTTGTGAGGAGTTCAACTTCGTGCAGCTGACTTTTTACTGTCATTTTATATTTGGATGATCAAGATCTGTTAAATTCAGTGCAACGACATGACCACTACATGTGCAATGACATTTCCTTTCATCTGTGTGGAGTATATAATTCTCATTTCAACATACGGACAATCGGCAAGCGTACTTCATTGGGAAATTGGACCATCAATATGAATACTTGATTGTATATGTGACTGTGCTGTAAAGCGAAGGTGAGGCTAATGACTAACTACTGCTGAGAATTGCCACGTCATTGTAGAAGTTGTGAGTTTATTTTGGGGCATTTTGTCTATACGTTGGTAGCCTTACCGAAAATCAAGGCTTAATACCTCAGAACGTAATCACTCTGTCAATGGGATGATAGACCACTGCGTAAGTGATCGTGTCTTTCATGTGATAAATCAGTTATTATTACAATGTGTAATTAAACCGTGTTTGTACTGTATTTCAGTTTATTTGATTCTTGCCTTATTCTTTTCATTATCGTTGCATTACTTTCTTTACTTTTGCCTTCTGTAAAGTTTCAGTTTGCGATGAGACCATTTTTTAATTGTGGCAACTATCCCCACTTTAGCAAATTAATAAATTTGATTGATATCATTCTGTGAGCCTGTTTTAGTTCGTTCAAACTGGCAAGTTCTGAGTACTGCAATGAAGACTATCTGGAGGTGCGTGAAATTGACGAGACAGGAAAGTTGCTGGGCAGATTTTGTGGCGAATCAACGCCTCCAAATTTATCAGGGTGGCAAAGACTATGGATAAAGTTCCGATCTACAAGCTACAGCGGTTTTTCTGGTTTTCAGGCCTCATATACGCTTGGTAACATGATATTTGATTCTTGAACATCTTTACCTATAGTTATTTCATCTTATCCTTAAATCGCAAACAACTTTTTAATATACTTACTTTGAACACGTAAAAAATGATACCTGATTTCTGCTGAAGCTGCTGATATTTTCTACCTACTAGATGATTCATTATGCTAGTTATAAATGTCATAAGTATAAGTGAAAAAGGTCATCTATGGAACACGCGATGATTCAAATGCACCAATAACATCAAAGCAAGAAACTGATTCAAGCCCCA